ATAGTAATAGTAATAGTAATAGTAATAGTAATAGTAATAGTAATAGTAATAGTAATAGTAATAGTAATAGTAATAGTAATAGTAATAGTGATAGTAATAATAATAATAAAAAAGTGACAGGATATTATAACACAGACTAATTTTTCTAATCACCTGAGTTTCTCGACTTGGTAACAATTCCACATAATCTGCCTCTTCTTCTGATTCCTACAAAAAAATAAATAAACAGATGTGTTGATTAAACAGTCTAAACTAAAACAGTCTAAAGGTCACGGTAAGTTGGAGATAGAAATGTAAGACAAAAGGACACATGTTCCGTCAAAGCTACTAACCTGGCCGCATGGTGCAACTAGAATGTCTCCTTCTGTATTTATTGGTTCCTGTGTGATACACAAAACAAAAACAAAAGGAAATGTTTCACTCATATGGGTTGTCCCCTTCTATAAGGTCACATCTGACCTAGAGTTACAAGACATCAGCGACGTGGTTTCAACGGCAAGGTTGAGAATGAAACCCTAGTGTGTGACCATTCTAATGGAAAAAGAACCCCCCTAGAGTAGGTTCTGTAGTTTTGTGCGGTACCGAAGGCCGAAAAAAAACACAGGTAAAAGAGGAGTCTTATTTGACCCTATTTTCAACTACATCCATTACAAATGAAAGACAAATTGATCTTGTTAATAAAGCGTCTGTTCTGATCTGTTGAAATTCCATCCGCAAGGCGAAAGCTCCATACAGCAATGATTGCGGGCGTATCACTAGGGGCCTTCATACCTTGTAGGGTAAGCTTCGCTTCCCAGGGTCGCTGGATTCTAAGCTGAATAAGACGTGCAGTGTAGGGATTTTGAAGCCGTCAAAAGTCGCTTTAACTTGTATGTCTGGATGAATCTCTAATGTTGATATATTACACTTCAACGTACTTCCTAATGCTAATTTCTGTTAAAACGCTTAATTAACTTGTATTTTGACACTGTGCCAAACAAAATCTCGTCTAATTTCATAACACTTAGTCTATTCTTAATACCACTTAGCAACGCCTCTGCCCAAAAAATCTGCAGGCTCATTCAATTATCGTGCGTGGGTTTTCGACCATAACAATATGTCTTGTATCCGAATGTAAACCATGTAACAGAATAAACATGAACGAACTGAAGCNATAGTAATAGTAATAGTAATAGTAATAGTAATAGTAATAGTAATAGTAATAGTAATAGTAATAGTAATAGTAATAGTAATAGTAATAGTGATAGTAATAATAATAATAAAAAAGTGACAGGATATTATAACACAGACTAATTTTTCTAATCACCTGAGTTTCTCGACTTGGTAACAATTCCACATAATCTGCCTCTTCTTCTGATTCCTACAAAAAAATAAATAAACAGATGTGTTGATTAAACAGTCTAAACTAAAACAGTCTAAAGGTCACGGTAAGTTGGAGATAGAAATGTAAGACAAAAGGACACATGTTCCGTCAAAGCTACTAACCTGGCCGCATGGTGCAACTAGAATGTCTCCTTCTGTATTTATTGGTTCCTGTGTGATACACAAAACAAAAACAAAAGGAAATGTTTCACTCATATGGGTTGTCCCCTTCTATAAGGTCACATCTGACCTAGAGTTACAAGATATCAGAGACGTGGTTTCAACGGCAAGGTTGAGAATGAAACCCTAGTGTGTGACCATTCCAATAGAAAAAAGAACAAGAACCCCCCTTGAATAGGTTATGTAGTTTTGTGCGGCACCAAATCCGAAAACAACACAGGTAGAAGAGGAATCTTATTTGACCCTATTTTCAGTTACATTCATTACAAATGCAGGACAAATTGATCTTGTTAATAAAGCGTCTGTTCTGATCTGTTGAAATTCCATCCGCAAGGCGAAAGCCGCATACAGCAATGACTGCGGGCGTATCACTAGGGGCCTTCATACCTTGTCGGGTAAGCTTCGCTTCCCAGGGTCGCTGGATTCTAAGCTGAATAAGACGTGCAGTGTAGGGATTTTGAAGCCGTCAAAAGTCGCTTTAACTTGTATGTCTGGATGAATCTAATGTTGATATATTGCACTTCAACGTACTTCCAAATGATAATTTCCGTTAAAAAGCTTAATTAATTTGTATTTTGACACTGTGCCAAACAAAATCTCGTCTAATTTAATAACACTTAGTCTATTCTTAATACCACTTAGCAACGCCTCTGCCAAAAAAATCTGCAGGCTCATTCAACTATCGTGCGTGGGTTTTCGACCATAACAATATGTCTTGTATCCGAATGTAAACCATGTAACAGAATAAACATGAACGAACTGAAGCTTGTACCTTCTTATGCACAGTGACCATCTCCTTGAGAGACTTGTAGACTCGAGACATCCCAACGATAACAAACTTCCCAGAGCGAGTCTGGTCGATCATGTAGTGTTTACAGCGGGTCTTTCCCCTGAAAACGACAATCACGTGAGATAAATAAGGCCCACATGAGCAGCAATCAAGGAATTAAGCGCAAAAATAAGACATAAATACGAGGTTAAAAACACCCTCGTGGTATTGTGTGCACGGGCAGCAAACACTAGTAACGGATCTGCCTAATCGCATTCTAATCTGAGTCTCCGATTGCTACTCCTCAATTCAACAATAACGCGAGGATGTTCTGGACATTTCTTCCTTACAACAGCGAAATGTACGGTGTCCAAGCATTTTTGAGAAAATGTAGGGCACGCAACAATCTCGAGAAGGATTTCCCGCCAATTGAATTTGTGAGTCCCTTATTTGGTTAGGTTTGAAAACGCATAACGTCATTTAGTTTAGAAACCTGCTCTTAGTTGAGGTTTCGGGCGGGGCGGAGATCTTACAAGACGCACCAGCTAAATGCCAGGTATGCCACAAAATCAAACAATTTAAAAACTATTTTCACGCAGACAGCAAAGATTGATGTTGCCCAACGAGATTCGGGAATGGCATCCTACTTGACCCCCCGCCCCTTCTTGCTCTCTCGCTCGTTGGTCACTACCGAATGCAAACAATGTAAGTCAGCTCACCTGTAAGACAGAGTGTAACCAAACCGACTTTCACTAACACGGATCAAGAAACAGCCCACTGGCTTGTTCGACAGCAGACGCTCAGATTCCCTGCAGACAAACAAACGCACACGGCTGGGGTGAAACAAAATTAAATCAAAGCAACTCTGAATTGCTGACATAATGGTTTCAAGTGTGCCATATGAGCAGAAAACAGTCAATCTCCTAATCGACAAGGAACGATCTTTTTATGAAAGATCAAAATCTAAGTTCTCTTTATAGTCTTATTCCAATTATCACCACGAGTGTGAAAAGGAATGCATAGATAATGATAAGAGGAATTTTAAAATCTTTCAAGATCGGTCTCGAGTTAGTGTCTGCTGACTAGAAGATACTCTACAAATAGAGTTAAGACGGTCAAAACATTTATGTAATTCATGCGGCAAGACTGCACCTCCTGGAAATGATGCCATGAAACCACTCGCTGAACATTCCGCTTTCATCTTGAACAATTCCCTTGGGGGCTTGAGTCTTCTGAAACCACTGTACAGCACTGCCAAATAACGTATGCTGATATCATTAGTAAAACTAAGCTAGAACTGGTTTACGGCTGAACTGAGGCTTACACCAACTCTGTTATCATGACTAACAGAAGGCTAAATTGCATTATTATTATTACATGGATGAGTTGTAGTTCACATGGACTGCGTTTAGACGTCGTGTAGAAAGGCTGACTAGGTAACCAAGCAACTGATCTACCCTAGCAACCCACCTACCGACTGAGTCGACCAAACGACTATGAGGCCGACTGGTCGACCGACCGACTTACAGACTGACCAGTTGGCCGACTCAATGACTTCAACTGACTTCCTGACTGACAAGTTGACTGTCTGCCCGACTGACTAACTGACTGACTGACTGGCTGGCTGACTAACAGATGGACGAACGGACGGATGGACTGACTGACTGACCGATGAACGGACGGACGGACTGACGGACTGACGGACTGGCTGGCTGGCTGATTGACAGATGGACTGACGGACTGACTGACGGAAGGACGGACCGACTGACTGACGGTCGGACGGACGGACTAACTGGCTGACAGACGGAAGGACGGACGGACAGACTCACTGATTGACGGACTGACGGACAGACGGACTGACTAACTAACTGGCACAGCCAGCCAGCCGACTATTGATTAATTGAGACATACGCTGCTTTGGTGGCCACGGCTCCAAATCCGCCCTTGATTGGGTGAGGTTGGCCAATAAAGACATCTTCCTCATCTTCTAGGTCATCCGTTAGAAACTCATCATCAAGCTACAACGACAAATAGAACATAACAATTAATTGCTACACAGCCGGGGCACAAACACTCTTTTACTCTAGATTTATTTCCTCGAGAATTAACTCAGCTCGTATTTTTCAGCGTAAAAGTTGCTTAGTAACATGAACAGGAAAACGTAGATTTGTCAAAAGCGGTTCTTGATGCCAGAGCACCCAAAAAACTGCAATGGGAGTTCGTTGGGTGCAAAAATGAAGACAATTTCAGTCGCAAAATAAGAACACAAAGTCTTATTTGATCCGCCACCGTTCAAGAGGGTGAGCACTATTCAAAGCATATCAGGGACAAGTTGTAGTTCACAAAAAAAAATCAAATATCACAGTCTATGTACCACATCCTACGCTCTCGAAACTTAAAAAAGTAAACATACCGTAAATGATCTGATAAACGCCCACACTCAAATAAACGCCTCGTATCTAACTAGTGAGACAATCTCAGATAGTGCAGAGCGCAATTGATAGCTCTGATACAG